ATCATGTAGCCATTAAAGGTCAATGATTTTAATAGTGAAAACACATAGAGTAGTAATGCTACAGGAGAAGGGAAATATCATAAATCACATTAGGGTCAATGCACTGTACATGCTGCAAGTGCCGTCCCTGCAAGACAAATTATACAGGGAGACAGACATGGTTTGTTAAGTTATATTTATAAACTGCTGGAGATGTACATGTGGAATTTGTAACGACACTGGTCACCTCTGCTTGAGGTGTGTTATATACAGTATTTACAATTAGTTTACTGTAACTGCTCCGTTATACTAATATTCTTTTGTCTTTTAAGCATGCAGCCCAGGAGACATTCGACTGATTAAGATTATGCAATACCACCTGCAACACCATGAGGTCGTAGATGCACTTAACCAAGCCTATAGGCTGTATGTTTAATACTTTTTTGGCTGTCTAAAACTCAAAGTATAAACACTCAGTCTGTTACAGTAATTGCTGCTATTTGCTGTGCTCTACAAGTGACATTACAGTACATTTTCTATCTTAATTAAAAAACATTTCACTTCTTTTATGATAATCTGTCTTAAAAAAAGAAAGTCTGAGTTAGGGGGCGTGCAAAAACATGATGTAGTTCTTTGTATTTGACTAAGTGAGCACACTTGTGCAGACTTACTCAGTCGGCTCCAGCTGACTTCCCAACTCTATTATCATACCGTAGTTATTAATGTATGATTGACCTATTTAAATAATGGTATACATTTATCATTCTCTATGCCTTGTGATTACATATTTATTGCTTGCACATGCTTCCTCTCCACCCTCTGTCCTTCTCTTATTTTCTTTTTCTACTTTCTCTCTTTTTTCATCATCACTCCCCTGTTCTGTCTCTCCCTCTCTTCCCCCCTGCAACATAGCCTCTGTCTCTCTCTTTGCTGAGGTGGCTGTACCTGCTGTGACTTTGACAAAGTAGTCTCCACGCGTGTAGTGGTGTATTTCTGTGTGTGAGTGTGTGTGTGTGTGTGTGTGTGTGGATGCAAGGGTGCACTAGAGTGTTTGTGTGCATGCACTAGCTTCATTTTATAGTTATATATTATATATAGTAAATTTGTCTGGCTGTTGCATTTGTTTAATGTGCACAGCGAACATGCACAATGCATCTGTATGTGTGTGTGTGTGTGTGTCTGTGTGTGTGAACATACTGCAGCATACTAGCACCTACTCCTAGTGCTTATGTCATACTATACTCGTCTGTTTTGTCCTCCATTACCCCTCACTTTTTTCATCCCTTGCTCTCTTGTTCACCTTGTTTCTCCCTGTGTGCTCCTCTTCTCCCACACCCTCCCTCCCTTTCGCTCCCCCCACCTCCCTCTGCTTGTCTCCTCCCTCTCTGTCCCCTCCCTCATGTTTCCTCCTTCCTCTCTCTCTCTCTCTCTCTCTCTCTCATTGATAGTGAAGCATTTGTGACTAGAATACTGAGGAGCTAATCATTATTCCACGAGCACAGCGCAGTGCTCGGGCAGAATGTCAATCCCCCCACCTCCCTCCCTCCCATCCCTCCCTCTGTCTTCCTCTCCCTCTCCCTCCCCTCTTTTGCATGCTTTCCAAGCAATAGTTAACATGGAAGCCACATTTGTGTTCTACGAAGAGAAAAGTAAGGAAAACACTCCACAAATACGCTATTCACAATTGCGAACACTGTGCTCTCAACACCTGCAGCGAGGTGTTGTGTGTGTAATAGCTGAGTAAAGTATACATTTGTGCTGTGGATGGTATTTGAAGTGTGTATGTGTGTGCGTGATACGTAGTTGTTATGTAAAAGCGCTCCACATCAATTTGTCAAGAGCAAAGTGGTGTGGGATGGAGATGAGAGAGAGACAGCTGTTGAATGCATATTTAGAGAGAGGAGGGAGACTAACAACAGAGAGTGACAGCAGACTTTGAGTGGATGCAGTAAGGCCAGTAAATCACCAGTAATATTAAGATATTATTATTAAGTTAATTCCTTATTGCATTTCTACATGTTGGATTATCAATATATTGTATATACATAAAAAGACTGAGGTAAAATACGCAGACAGTCACTCTCACAGAGCAGATTCAGTGTCACCCAGTGGTGCTGGAAACCAAGAGAGGGGTAAATTAGACCAGAGGTAAATTAGGCAGCACACACACACTCACTGGGACTGCGGGGCGTGTGTCAGTGTGTGTGATGGAATGGGAGAGACAGCACACGGAGACTCCTCCTGACTTCCTGAAAACTGCAGCTGTGGGTCACAGCCAGGGGTAACGCTGTGTATGCAACCCTCCCAACACACACACACACCACGTGCAGAGAGCCAAATAAAGAATTTAAAATTTGCAAGTTGGATGGATACAGTCATATCTAAATGTCCTACACACACACACACACATACACACACACCTACACACACACACACACACAGAAAAAAATGCCATGGCCTTGGGGAACCTCTGGCGTGACATGGCTGCAGTCTAATAGGCTCAAGCATGAGTGAGTAATAGGTGTTCCAGCACTGTCCGCCCACTGGACAAAGACATCTTGAGATGCGCATTATTTTATGAGATGCAAAGTGAATAGGTGAAAACATGATGAGGCATTGGGGGGGGGGGGGGCTGTTTGAGACCAGAGCAGAGGAGACAGCTCAGCATTGTCACATACTATATTTGCTTCCCTGTTTGATTAGGGGACAGCTTAGTGGACGAATCAGAGTTGATGTATCCAAAGGCTCAAATCAGAGGATATTAGTCAATAAGGGACACACAAATAGGCTCTAGCTTTACATTACGCCACTGTGTATTCATATTATATGTGGATTGAGTAAAATGTTTGGTTGTACTGGAACGATATGTATTAATTATTAATAGACACATGGCAGATTTAGTTCTCATTTTGTTCATTTAAAATTTAACAGCAATCTTGTAACCTAACACCTCTTCTAAAATCTTTTAAAGCACAATTTGCAAATATCACTATAAGGCAACACAGTGTTGTCACTAGCAATTAAAGCGCCACCTCGTGCACAGAGTGACAAAATCAATGATTCAACACACTGTGGCAAGTTTAATAGCCTTAGAGGACATGAAATTCTAAGACAGCATTGGGGCTGCGAGGTTAAGAAAAAGATCTATATTGAAAAGGCTACTTGGACCGACCAGAGCACCAGAGAGGAACAAAGGCATCATAAGGCCAATGTCCCAGTCTCGTTAGGGGGGATGAGACAGCGCAGCGTGATAGAAGTGGGATATGGGAGTTAGGCAGTGACATCATATAGAGTGAGCTGCTTCTCTGGAGACTGCTGTCTGCTTGCAGTGGGCTCATGCTGTTGTGGAGTTGTGTCTTATATGAGTGAACATTATAAATAGTGAGGAGGATGTCAGCTCCATTCAAGGGAGTCCCACATGAAGTGTCAGGGTGCTCTGGTGAGAAGAGAGATGATTTTCAGCAATGTGTCAGTGTACAGTTTGTGTACATGTGTACCCCCAGTTGGAAGTATTCATTAATTTACTTAAGTAAAAGTAGAAAATGTCACAATGTAAAATGTACTCTAAGTAAAAGTGCTCTATTCAATATTTTACTGAAGTAAAAGTGCAGATGTATTCACTGTGCAGAATGGGCCTTTCTAGAGCGTTGCATAACTATTTTATATGCATTAAAGGTCCGGTGTGTAACATTTAGGTGGATCTATTGGCAGAAATGGGAAATAATATTCATAGGTATGTTTTCATTAGTGTATGTATAACCAGAATATGGGAATCTTTATGTTTCTGTTACCTTAGAATGAGCCACGGGTCGTCTTCCATGGAGTCCGCCATGTTGAACCACTGTGTTTGTACAGTAGCCCAGAACAGACAAACCAAACAGAGTTGTGAGTCTCCTAAACGCTTCACAGGCCGTTCTCATTCCCAGGTCGTCATGTACAAACACGAGTGGTATTCAGTTAGTTGCAATCTGAAACTTCACCACTAGATGACACTAAATCCTACACACTGGTCCTTTAATGTATAATTATTTTTGTTGTTGGTGAATGTGGAGATAATTTTAAATACGTCATGCACTTTTTAGTGTAAAACTGTACAACTTTGTACTAAATCTACATATCCATATCAATATCTATAAAAAGCATCATATTTTTTAAGCTGATAACATGTTTGGTATGTGAAATGATAATCTACAGGGCATTCATGAAGTGCAACATCACCAGTTGGATGTTATTCTCCATCTCTCTTTCCTGTTATTTCCTTTCATCTCTTCACTGTCTGCTCCACATATAAAATGCCCAAAACAAACAAACTACAAAATCTTAATCTTCTATAGCTGTCAAATAAACACTGCAACATTTTCCTCTGAAATCTAGTCCAGTTTAAATATTAACTAGCATAAAATGGAACGACTCAGTTAAATACAAATACTGCTGAATACGTCAGAATTGTACAATATTTGAGTAAATGTACTTAGTTACATTCCACCACTGTGAACAGCTACATACATGTTTGATCTACCCTCCTGCTCTGATAGGATTTATGTGTGTGTGTTTACCTCTACTTCCCCCGCTTGTGTTTGTGCATATCAGGGACATTAAGTCAATATGTGCCTCAGTATGTGAGCCCAGTTGTGTGTTTACATCTGATTCTGCTGTGCGTGTGTGTGTGTGTGGGTGGGTGTGATGTGTGGTGGTGTCAGTGCCCCATGATGTGTGTCATAGGGTATGAGGCGAGTTGCGTGGGTGTTGTGATAGAGTTTGTCACGCCGTGGCATGGTAGCCATGTCAAACTCTGTTCAGGGTGTGTTACCTGGCTAGGGATGTAGACACATCCCTAT